TAAATCTTAAAAAAAAAAAAAGGCAGAAGGCGAAGGAAGAAATACTGAGAAGTGACAGCATTGGAAGGAAGCATATTCAGCAATGAGACTCTGAAGATGTGGTTCCAAAGGCCAAGTTCTAGAAAGGAGGCAAACCTGGTAGGCCACAGTCTGTGGCTCTGGGAGGCGGTCCCCAGAATTGGCTAATGGGGTCACCGCCTGGGTGTTCAACTCATACCCAGGACCTTCTCAGCTTTAGCCCAGAAAAATCCACATCCTGGGAGTTCCCTTGGTCTCAGGCAAACCAGGACAGATGGGCACTCCAGCTGACCTTACCAGAATGGTGTGGAGAAGGGTTTAGGTTGCAGCGTAGCTCGCTTTTGAAGGCATCACTGTTCCAGTGAGAAGATTACTAACTCCCAGGCTGATTGCCTGAGCAGAGTAATGAAAAGCTCTCTTTCTGTACAGCGCTTGACCATCATAGGACCTCCCTCAATCTTTACAACAGCCTGGGGACTAGGGCTTTGTAGCCCCAGTTTCACAGGAGTACAAGCCGAGAGGTTAAGTCATTTGACTAAGCTCCGGAAGCACCTAAGCAGCAAAGGCAGGGCTCTACCTTGAGGCTTTTGGCTCCAGAAGCGCTTGCGCTGGCTGTCTCTGGCTTGAGCCATAGCAGGGGTGCTGGGCTCGTGGCTGCAGGGCCCACTGGAATATTCTCTGATGAAATGATGTATATCCCGGATTTGTTGCCAAGCTGTGTTGAACATCAAGGGGAGTAGGTAGAGAGACAGTGGAAACAAGATTTTCATGAGTTGACAACTATTGAAGTTGTGAAATGGGGGTTGGTTAGAATCTTTGGGCTTATTTTGTATGTGTTTGAGCTTCCCAAGAGAAAACACTTTAGAAATGTGTTCCATAATTTTGGCATGAGCTTCAGCAGGTACCGTCTCCTAAGAATTTAGCTTTAAGTTTCCTAGAGTATTCTTCACCCATCCTTCAAGCTTCTATGCAAAGGAGTAAAAGATTTTAAGCTAATGACTGCATTTTGAAGAGCAATATTCAAAGGTACATCTTTGTCATCTGAACAGCACCAGCTGGCAGGCAGATTTGTGGGCTTTTAAAAAAGTAGGCTTGCTTATTTGCCATTCTTTTGGGCAATCCTATTATGATAGCTTACCATGTAACAGATAGCATTTTACAAGCTTTTGTATCTCTATTTCTCCTTTTTTTTTTTTTTTTGACAGGCAGAGTGGACAGTGAGAGAGAGAGAGACAGAGAGAAAGGTCTTCGCCGTTGGTTCACCCTCCAATGGCCACCGCGGCTGGTGCACTGCGCTGATCCGAAGGCAGGAGCCAGGTGCTTCTCCTGGTCTCCCATGGGGTGCAGGGCCCAAGCACTTGGGCCATCCTCCACTGCACTCCCGGGCCACAGCAGAGAGCTGGCCTGGAAGAGGGGCAACTGGGACAGAATCCGGCACCCCGACTGGGACTAGAACCCGGTGTGCCGGTGCCACAAGGTGGAGGATTAGCCTAGTGAGCCGCAGCACCGGCCCTCTATTTCTCCTAAGCCTCACAGCAAACTCATGTCCTATGTGTTTTCAGCCTCCGTTTCACAGATGGGGAAATGAAGGTCCAGAGGTATTAATGATAGTTATCATTTGTTAACCATGAAGGGTCTTTCAAGTGCTGGGCTAATTGCTTTAAATGAACTTGCTTATTTTATCGTCTCATATCCTTATGAGGTAGACACTATTATTATCCCCATTTTATAGATGAGGAAATTGAGGTTTCAAGAGGCTCAAGAGCTTGTGGGCAGCTGCTGGAGCCAACCATGCTCTTTGGGTCACCCCGTAGCCAGGGCACTGTCTGCCCCGCATCACTCCCAGGATGCAGCCTGGAGGGGTGGTGCAGGGCACTCGTTCTCAACTCTGCTAGTTATTAGTCCTGTGGCCTGGGGTCACATGCCTCCCTTTCCTAAGCCTGGTTTGTAATCTGTAAAATGGGGCTAATACTAGTACCTCTCTAATAGAGTAATTATGGAGATTAACTGAGACAAGGCATAGAACCTGATGCGGAGAGCAGAGAGCTCTATTGGAAGCAGTGTTTTTTTTTTTTTTTCTTTTTTTCTTATCATGCTTCTTCCTTATTTGTAGAGATAGATTTATTTATTTATTTATTTATTTATTTGAAAGGCAGAAAGAGTGTGATATCTTTCATCTGCTGGTTCACTCCCTAAATGGGTTCAATGTCTGGGACAGGGCCAGCACCAAACAAGTAGCCAGGGGCTCTCTCTGGGCCTTCCCCAGGGTGGGTGGGAGGGGCCAGCCTCTGTGGCCTCCCAGGTGTAGTAAGAGGAGGCTGGGCCAGAAGCAGAGATGCCACTCAATCCCAGGCACTCTGAAACGGGTTCTGGGTGTCCCACGCGCCGACTCAACCAGCTGCCCAGTGGGGACGTCTGTCCCGTAAAGCAGTTTTAGGTTCACAGCAAAGCTGAGTGGGAAGTGCAGAGTTCCCATGTACCTGTGCACCTCGCAGCCTCTGCCGCAGTCATCATGCATCAAACTGTGTGTTTATTGTAACCGATGAATCTCCGCCGACACATCCTTATCGGCTGAAGCCTGTAAATTTACATTAACTGTGCTGGTGTATATTATATAGATTTTCACAAATGTATAGTGACATGGACCCAATCTGTAGTGTCATACGGAATCCTGCCTATCCCCCCTCTTCCCCTCTAACCCTGGTACTGTTTCCAGGGTTTTGTCTTTTCCGCAATATCATGTAACTGAAATCATACAGAAGACTTTTCAGTTTGGCTTCTTCTACTCAGTAATATGGATTAAGGTTTCCTCACATCTTTCCATGACTTGGTAGTGCATTTCTTTTTAGTGTTGAATAATATTCCATTAATTAGTTGCATCATAGTGCATTTCACTTGGTTGCTTCCGAGTTTTGGCAATTACACATTGTGTGCAGGCTTTTGTGCAGACATAGCTTTTTTTTTTTTAATTAAAAAAAATTTTTTTTAAAGAGTTACACAGTGAGAGAAGGAGAGGCAGAGAGAGAGAGAGAGTCCTTCCATCTGCAGATTCACTCCAACTGGCCACAACAGCTGGAGCTGCACTGATCAGACACCAAGAGCCAGGAGCTCCTTCCGGGTCTCCCAGGTGGGTGCAGGGGCCCACCAGGGGGGTGAACCAACAGAAGGAAGACCTTTTTCTCTCTCTCTCTCTCTCTCACTGTCTGTGACTCTGCCTGTCAAATTAAAAAAAAAATTTTTTTTTTCTCCAAGTCTATGGTCTGTCCTCCTCTTGACAGTCTTTTACAGAATAGACATTTTGAATTTTAAACAAATTCCAGTTGATTAATTCTTTCTTTCACGCATGATGCCTTCGTGTTCTATTGAAAACATCACTGCCATACTCACAATCACCTAGGTGTTCTTTGTTATCCTCTAGGAATTTCATGGTTTTGTATTTTACACTTAGATCTGTGATGTGCTTTATTTTTGGTGAAGGTTGACAAGTCTGTATCTGGATTCATTTTTTCCCCTTCTTTTGCTTGTGGGTGTCCAGTTGTTCTAGCATCATCTGTTGAAAAGACTAAGCTCATTTAGTTCACAAAATAAACATTGAGGATAGGAGGCACCATTATTATCCCCGTTTTTCAGATCAGGAAACTGAAGAACGGAGAGATTTTTATGAACCGCCCGGAGTAGCAGAATATTTGACAGAACTGGGATTTGAACCCAGGCAGCCTGGCTCCAGAGTCAATATACTCAATCCACGTTTGTAATAGTATCTCCCTCACGGGTGTGTTGTAAGGAATAGAGACGGTGTCTGGCACATAGTAGGTGCTCAGGAAGCAGTGGTGACGGTCATTACCCTGCCTGGCCCTCCAAGGCTCTGCTCAGTGCGGTGTCCATCACAGCACCTGTGTCACCACCTGTGACAGCCTGCTGCCTTCACCTGTCACAGCTCCCCCCCCTCCCCGCTCCCCATGTGAGTTCTCTGGGGACAGGACCCACGTGGGTTTCTCCCGGCATCACCCCAAGTGCCTGGGGCTGCACTTGGCACTTGGCAGCTTATCAGTAAAAGTTTGCTGAGTTTGAGTAGCACGGTAGTCCTTCATCCAAAATGCACACGGCGCCGCGTGGTTCCCAGGAGTTCCCTGGTTCTTACTCAGCTCTTTGCTCCTGTGCTGCCTCACCCCAGCCTTCCCTGGTCTGTCGGGTTGGGCCACCCTTGCCTGGAGAAGTTTCCATTTGGTCTGTGAAGGGATGCAGCTGCTCCTGTCTGCTACACCCTTTCTCCTCTACCTCTCCACCTGGCTTCTCCCCCATTCTGGAGTATTCCACTCCACCCCAGACACTGCCTGGAGACCTGTCTGCTTCTCTGTCTCTCCCCCCGCCCCCAGCTCAGGACTTAGCACCTGTCTAGGAAGCCTGGTTTCTCAGTACTCCTTGGCATCTCCCAAGAGGTCTAAAATCTCTTCTTGCCCCGAGAGGGACTTCATTCGGAAGAGCTGGTGAAGACTGTTGATCTTGGCATTGCCGGGCTTCTTCAGGAAGTGAGTGCGTTGATAGCCATGACCCCTGGGTCCTGGTACACCTCTTGAGCAGCTCCACACCAAGCAGAGCTCTCTCAGACCAGGCCACCCCGAGCCCGATCCCATCTTGGGGAGTTTGTCTTGGCAGGGTTCCCTGGACAGGGCAGGCAGTACCTGCTCTGGACTGAGCCCACTGACAGTGTAGGGAAGGCAGCTGTGTGTGCCCCTGCAGAGCCACCTGGGAAGCAGCTGGCTCTGGACAAGACTGTCCTGGGTACAGCCAGCAGGGTCCCTGGACATGTCCAGCAGCCTCCAGGCCCAAACGCACATCAGACCCTCTGGGCGGAGCCTTTCGCACACAGCGAGAGGAGCCTGGGAGCCCACTGTGGACGAAGCCTCCCTGGGCGGCTCCGGTGCCCGCTGACCCGCGTCTGGCGGCGCGCCCGCGCGCTGCCCAGGCCTGCCGGGCGTTTATCCCCGCAGCCGCCAGCAGGGAGCTCCCTTTCGGCTCCGCTCGCGCGGTCGCGGGGGGCGGCGCTGCGCTGCGCCGCGCCGCGCTCCAGCCCCGACCGGGCCGGGGTCGCTGGATGCCGCGTCTCCGCTGCTGCTGCCTGCCCGGCGGGCTCCGGCGGCCGGTGAGTGCGGGGCGGCGGGGGCGGTCGCTCGATGGTGGGCCCTGCCGGGTGGGGCGGCGGGGTGAGCTCCAGCCCGGCAGGCGGACGGGCGGACGGGCGGGCAGGCGGGCGGCGGGGCCCGCCGGCTCCTCCTCCCGCGGCCGCTGGAAGCAGCGGCCCGGACTCCCGGCTCCCGTCCCTGGTGGCGCCGCAGAGCTCGACGCCTGAGGGTGGGGGCCGACCCGAAGGGGCAGCAAGGGCAGCGCTGGCCCCCTTTGGCCAGCATGGGGGACGCGGGGCAGCAGGACAGGGTGGCCTTTAGTTTGGGGGTGGGGGGATTTGAGGCTTGGAGGAACCCAGGTGGCCCAGAGCTATGGGGTGGAGGGAGCCACCTCAGGGGTGGGGGCTTCCCAGGGCCAGGCCCGGGACTCCCAGATACAGCGGTCGAGCGAGGCGCTGAGGAAGGCAGTGGGGAAGGCGAGCACCTCCACAGAGCCCTTTATCCCTCCCAGTGGCCTTCACCCTTTCACTGCCAGGCCGCCAGCGGGCTCCGCTCAAAGGAGCAGCTGCTAGACAGCTGGCAAAACAATGGAGACCCCGCTTCCCGGCCCCCTCCTCTGGGGGCAGATGATGGGGGCGGGGTGGGCGAACGGCAGGCCTGGGAGCTTAGGAGCGCAGGCGCTCCCCTGGGGCCGGCTGCGCACCTCACCTTGCCTGCAGAGGGGTGGGGTGCGTGTGGGAAGGTCGGACCGCCTGCCCTGCCCAGGCCTCTGCGAGAGCGCGCCCTGATGCCCCGCCCTGCGAACCTGTCATGCCAGTTGCTTCGCCAATGGGAAGGGGAGGTAGCAGGGTCAGCCGCCCTGCCCTGCCCGCCGCCGACAACCCCCGTGCCATGGGAGGCGGGCGCGAAGCTTGGTACCAAGGCTGGTGAGGAGTGGGTCATGTCCCTGGGTGAGATAAGGCCCGCAGGGACGCAGGCACGGTGGGGCTTTGTGGTGGGGGTAGAGGGGTGTCGCCCAGTTTCAAGGCACATGTGTGCAGCTGATTAGTTGGAAAGGCTGCCGCCCTGTGGGGGCGAAGGTGGAGGTGAAGACAGCCCGTTTGTGGTTTGAGCTGGGACTCGTTTTGCCTGGTCACTTGGCCAGTGGGGCATGTGTTTAGCTGTGGGTTCACACTTTGCTGCGAAGCACCCTCCTGGCTGGGGCCTTCCTGCCCACGGATGGCCCCCTAGAATTGTAGGCTTGGTCCCTTGACCCCACTCCGCCTTGTCGGTGACCTGTAATCCTTTGCTTCGGTTTCATTTTGTCTTCTGGAGTCCCTGATCTGTCTGTGGCTGAGGCGGCTTTGGGCGTGTGAGTGTGTGCGCTGTGCACTGTGGCCGTGTTGGAAGGGACAGCAGTCACCCTGGCTGAGACTGCTTCAGCAGGACACTGACTCTGGAGGGCATTGAATCAGTGCCTTGCTTTTGCTTACCAGCTCTGGAACCTTTTTCTGGAGCAGGTTGGTGTCCTGTTGTCATGGCAACAGGCCTGGCCTACCATTTCCCACCTCTTTTATTTTATTTTTTGGTTCAGGGGCTACTTTCTATTCGAGGATATTGAAAGTCTTTCTCCCGAGATCTCTGGCTTCCTGAGAAGCCTGGCTGGCTCCTCGTCAGTGGCCTGCCACCTCCTCAGCTTCCCCTCGTCCTTTTGTGATGAGGACTTTCCAGGAAACATCCTCCTGGTTGCTGGACATGACCCGACTGGTTATATATAGCCGTGGGTGGAGGTGTGCTTGTCCATTTGGGGTTGAGGACATAATGGTTGGGGCCTGGATTCTAGGAAGACAATGGCTTTGGGGTAAGCTATTATGAGAGGAAGACTCCCAGGGGATTGAGAAGGGTTGTGGCTAGGGGCGGCGGGTGGGCGTGGGAGGGGTCAGAAGCTGGTGGGCACTTCCTTTGGGAGCTGTGAACTTGGGAGAGTTGATGGCGGTATGCCTGGCAGCTCTGAGGGTCAGGTTTGTTTATTCCCTGCCGCTCTGGTTCAGGTGCCAGGGCACATGCCCAAGGACCTCCTCCAACCCTCACTCTCCCAGAAGACTCCCGGGGATTATGGCCTCCTTGACCACCTGCCTGGGCTGTGCAGCACACTCCTGGATGGTCTGGACAGCCCGCCTGTTGTCTGCCCCACCCCCCACTGGCCCTGCTGGAGGCTGCTCCTTGAGGGGTGTATGTGTCCCCAGAGGTTGGACCTGAAAACTCTGGGGTCTGCTGGGCACAGGTCCACGGAGGTGCACCGGGTGGAGCAGACCTGGGAGTGCACCTGCAGGGGAGGAGCAGGGAGTTCCTGGAGCTCAGCAGGGCTGCTCTGGCTCCTTCAGACCAGACATCCATCCCAGGCAGACCCCTCACCTGGTATGGACACTGCAGACAGGAGCCAGAGCATCCATGTGAACTGGGCCCCTCCCTGGCCTCTCCTGGGTGCGGTGGGGGAAAGCTGGGGGCTCTGGTTCAAAGGTGGTTTTCTTGAGTGGAGGTGCGGGCCCAGCCCACTGTGTGCTGTGACCCACCAGTGCTTGCACAACTCAGGATGCATCTTGGAGTTTGAAGTTCTGCTTTGAGCCAGGCCTGGGGGTTTTATATCTGCCCAGCGCCCCCCACCCCAGCGCCATCTCCCCCTTTATTGAGGTGCCGCTGCCAGTTTTTGAGGTAGCCTGATGAGAAGCTGGTGTACAGAGGTGGGCGCTGGCTGGGGGAGGGGGGCTGCCACTCTGCACCCCTCCTCCCCTGCCCTTTGTCTTGGGCTGGGGCCACACAGCACTTTAAGTTGCGGGCTGCTGATTTTACAGGGCCCAAAGCCCCTGCCCTCTTCCAGGTACTTTATCATCATTTACGAGGGATTATTTTTATTATTCTCTGGTTTTTCAGAGATGTAGCAAGAGGGACTCAAGGTCACACAGTGCGCGGGAGGCAGCACGGGATTAGAACCTGTAGTTTGTGGTTGCTCAGAAAACCTCTCAACAGAGGCTTGGGGCCAAGTCAGCTCGCCGGCCCTTGGAGATTTATAGTTGAAATAGCGGAGGCCAGCAGAGGGGACGAGGCGCTCTCAAGGTCACACGGGAGGGGGTGGGGAGAGGTGCGGGAAGCGCGCGCGAGGCGGGCGGCGGCCGGCGGCCCGGAGTCACGCCCTGGAAGGCCCGCAGGGGACCTGGCTGGGCTGCTGGCGCCTCTCCCGCGCTGTTTCTCCCGGGACCCGCGGGCTCACCGCGTTCCAGGGGAGACCGTATCGCGGCGAGAGGCGCCGCGGGCCGCACCGGCCGCACGGAGAGGCCGCGGGCCGCCGGACTCGCGGCGCTGCGGCGGGCCGGCCGGCTGCTGTCATGTGAGAGGCGGGCGGTCGGAGCACACCTGGAGCCAGATAAGCTCCGTGTGACCTGGCAGTGAGTCACAGGGCGCTGCGGAGCTCAGCAGAACCGCGGGAGCAGGCTCGGCAGCCGCCGCCCCGGGGCTGGGCCAGGCGGGGCCGGGCCAGCAAGGTGCGGGGGACCCCCGCAGGCCGCTTCTGCAACCCCCGGTGCCGGGCCGGCGCCGTGCTAGGGCCTCAGGACTGTAGGAAACTGCCACTCTGGGAGGTCAGAGGCCGAGGGAGGGAGGCCGGCCCTCTTGGGAAAGCATTTCCTTTGTATTTATTTATGAGTGTGGTCTGCGGGTGGGGGTGGGGGCCCAGTCCTCCCCCTCCTCCGTCCTGGGATCTGTTTCCTGGAGCTTTTGCTTTGCCTGCTGCAGAGTGACCCATTTAAATCTGTCCCCACTGAAAGCCTCGGGACAACAGTGCCATCAGTTAGCTGAGTCCCCCAAGTCGCTGAAAGTTTCCAGACAGGAAGGCCAGCCTTGAAGTGCCACTCCAGCCCCACTCCCAGCGCCCCACTTCCCAGCCGATGCCAGCGCTGCCTGCTCTCTTGTCAGCACTCTTCCATCTTTCAGCTTTTTCCTTTTTAATCTTTAAAATCACCAAAGACACGTGCTGAGAAACAGCTGAGTCAGTAGGAGGTGTGTTAGGTAGAAAGCTAGGTGTTAGCCCTTTTCCTCCATGCCCCAGAGATAACCAGTCGAGTCCCAGCTGCTCCACTTGCGATCCAGCTCTCTGCTATGGCCTGGGAAGGCAGCAGAAGGTGGCCCAAGGCTTTGGGCCCCTGCACCCGCATGGGAGACTCGGAGGAAGCTCCTGGCTCCTGGCTTCGGATTGGCACAGCTCCGGCCGTTGTGGCCAACTGGGGAGTGAACCAGCGGATGGAAGACCTCTCTCTCTGCCTCTCCTTCTCTCTCTGGGTAACTATGACTTTCATTTTTTTTTTTTTTTTGGACAGGCAGAGTGGACAGTGAGAGAGACAGAGAGAAAGGTCTTCGCCGTTGGTTCACCCTCCAATGGCCGCCGGCCAGCGCACCGCGCTGATCCGATGGCAGGAACCAGGTACTTATCCTGGTCTCCCATGGGGTGCAGGGCCCAAGCACCTGGGCCATCCTCCACTGCACTCCCTGGCCACAGCAGAGAGCTGGCCTGGAAGAGGGGCAACCGGGACAGAATCCAGCGCCCCGAACGGGACTAGAACCTGGTGTGCCGGCACCACAAGGCAGAGGATTAGCCTAGTGAGCCGTGGCGCCGGCCGGTAACTATGACTTTCAAATAAATAAATCTTTAAAAAAAATCCAAACAATGTATATGTAACCCAGGTTTGCTTTGGTCCTTCTCTAATCCCAATTTCTTCCCAGAGCATCTGTTTTCCTAACCAAATGCAAATGTTGTAGGTGATGTGCATATCCACATGTGTACATCGTTTTTTATTTGTTATTTATTTATTTACTTTTTGCCAGGCAGAATTAGACAGTGAGAGAGAGAGACAGAGAGAGAGTTATAGACAGTGAGAGAGATACAGAGAGAAAGGTCTTCCTTCTGTTGGTTCACTCCCCTAATGGCCGCCACGGCCGGTGCTGCACCGATCCAAAGCCAGGAGCCAGGTACTTCCTCCTGGTCTCCCAT